CTGGGACCAGGATCACCCTCCTGCCCCACCCTGGCCCCTGGCACTGCCCCTTTCAGGAGTGTCTCCCCTGGGGAGGGGAGCTTCCCGGTGGTCGGGGCAGTCGTGGGTGGGGACCCCCTGGGGTGCTTAGCACCAGGGATCCCCTGGCAAGTGGCAGCTGCCTAGGAGCTGTCCCCTATCTGGAGGCAGTGGGGGAGTCCTTAGGGGTCAGAGGGGCAGGGTGGTGGAGGTTCTGGGGAGGGGAACCCCCATCGGGCTCCTGGAGGTGGGTGTGAGGCAGGGAGTCCTGATTTGGTGCGGGGGAGTCCCTAGGCTAATGGGGTACATCCCCTGCCCTGATGGCTGCCCCCCAATACAGGCCTGGCAGAGGACTATATCCCCATCTCGGTGGCACTGGGCAGCCTAGGCACACAGGAAGTCCGCCAGCTCCAGACGTGAGTATTGAGGTGCAGGGAAGGGGCTCCCTACAGGCCCCCAGAACTGCTTGCTGTGGGAGCTGTGTTGGGGAAAGAGGCACTGGGACTGGGGCTTGATAACCCCCACCAAGCTTGGGAGGCTGCTATAAGGTGTGCCCTCCCCCAGAATGGACTCTGTTCCCCCACTGCAGTGACACCAGTTGGGCACCAGGGGGCACTTCCACTCCCAGCCTAGGGTGCCAAATGGGGATTAGATGCTGGAGGGAGAGTGGTGAGGTGGGAGGCATTTTGGGGGTGCAGAAGGTAGCCCAGTGTGGTGGTGATGGGGCCCTGTGGATAGTTGGGCACTGATGGATTGGGGGGGGCGGCACTTCCCGGAGTGGCGGTAGAGTTCTGGGGGGAAGGAGGCACCTCAGACAGAGCTGGGGGATGGGTGCTGTCTGGTGGGGGGCAGGACACAGGGGACACTGAAGGGGATGGGGTGCTGTCTGGTGGGGGAGATGCAATATCAGGGGGCCCTAATGTAGGGGAAGGGTGTGGGGGCACTAGGGGGCTGGTGGTGTGGGGGAGGGGGCATAATGGGTGGGTTACTGGGGGGAAAGTACCAGGGGGGTCACTGATGAGTCTCCCCTTCACTCCCCAGGAGCTTCCTGAAATTGGCTGAACTCTTTGAACGGCTGCGGGTGAGTGAGGGCTCCTCCCCCCGTGAGGAGCCTCTCCCCATCCCCTACTCTACCATGGGCCCCCTCTGCTCTGGGGCTTCTACCTCCCCACACACACAAACACTCTGCCACCATTCCTCATGCTCCAGACCTCCCCAATCTCCTGGTGTCCCCCACCTTCCTCTGAACCCCACAACCAGGATCAGCCGCACCCCACAGACTCTGCAGTGGGGAGGCAGGGCCTTCATGGCCCCTATCCTGCACCTCCAGCCCCCTTCTCAGGGGGTCTCCACCCCCACTTGCTAGCGCCCCCTATGGCTGGATGTTTGGGACCTCTGAGGGGGTGACATTAGCTCAGAAGGATGGGGTGTAGAGGCTCAGGATTAACTGTGGGATTAACACACACCCCCTTTGCTGATCAACCTCCCCCCCCTTCTGTCCTCTCCTTCCCAGAAGTTGGAGGGCCGTGTGGCATCAGATGAGGATCTGAAACTGTCTGATCTGCTCAAGTACTACATGAGAGACTCACAGGCAGCCAAGGTACAGGCAGCACGGTGCAGAGATGCGACCACCTCTGGGATGGGGCCTGGGGCTGTTAATATAGGGCTCCCTCACCCAGCACTGAGATGCAGCCACCTCTGGGGTGGGGCATGGAGATGTATAACTGTCTGTGTCCCCAGGATCTGCTGTACCGGCGCCTGCGGGCCCTGGCTGATTACGAGAATGCCAACAAGGCACTGGACAGAGCCCGCATGAGGAACAAGGAGGTGAAGCCGGCTGAGGCCCATCAGCAGCTGTGCTGTCAGCGCTTTGAACAGCTATCAGCCTCTGCCAAGCAAGGTGAATACAGAAAGGCTAGGAGCCAGGACTCTGGGAGGGGAAGTGGGGGGGATGTCTAACGGGTTAGAGCAGGGGGCTAGGATACAGATCTCCTGGGTTCTCTCTCTCTCCCGGGGCAGAACTGACTGATTTCAAGTCACGTCGAATCTCCGCATTTCGCAAGAACCTGATCGAGCTGGCAGAGTTGGAGCTGAAACATGCCAAGGTATCAGGGACCCCCAGAAATCTTGCACCCCTGCCTGGGGCCCACCCACCTCCCTGCTAGCCCTTGGGAACCCCCCTACCCCAGCCTGAGTATGGAGCTGCAGACACTACCACTTCCCCCCCACCCTCCAGAAACTCCTCCAACCCTGGCTGGGAACCCCTGGGGATCTCCCCCCGCCCAACTACCTGCCCCCCCCCCCACCTGAACTGGGACCCTTCAGAAGCTCCCATCTCTTTCTTACCCTCCTCACCCAGTGCATGCTCTACCTCCCCAAGCCCCTGGGGAGCCCTGTTCCTCCTCCCCCATGACCTCTGCACCCTGGGGTGGGGGGCTGGAGGGTTGTCTGAGCTCCTCCCCAATCACCTGCATGCCCCCCCATCAGCACAGACCCTGTCCTCAGTTGCAATATCCAGGTGTGGCCTGCAGGGGGAAGCAGTGTGACACACTTGGGTCCTCGTACAGGTTCAGTGCAATGCCACTCCCAGTTAGGCTGGGAGCCAGGACTCCTGGCTTCTGTCCCCAGCTGTGAGAGGGGTGTGGGATGGATCATTTTAGGTTTTCTTGGGGTCTCAGTTTCCCCTGGAGCATTGCACTGGGGGGGGTGTCTCCCCATCTCTAACCCCCTCCCCTCTCTTCCAGGCCAGCAGCCTGCTGCTGCGGAACACCCTGATTGTGCTGAAGGGCGACGCCTGATACTACCACCCAGCTCTGCACCTGCGGGAGGGGCCTCTCAGCGCCTTGGTGCAGAGACCCCCCCAGCGCTACTGCTGCTGCCTCATAATCCAGCCCCATATATCCCTGCCCTAACCCTGTTGGCATTCCAGCCCCCCCATACCTGCTCTGCCAACTCTGGGGGGCCCCCTCTGACTGTGGGGGCAACCCCCCCCAACACCCATTAAACTCCCGCCCCCTGGCCTCCCAGAGATGGCTGCAACCTAGAGTTCCTTTAGGAGGGGAGTGGGCTGGGAGCCAGAACTCCTGGGGTCTATCCCCAGCTCTGGAAGGACAGTGAGGTATAGTGGGTTAGAGCAGGAGGGCTTGGAGACAAGTCTTAGGTGAGCCCCTTCCCCTCTGTCCCCCACCCCCCGACTGCAGTAAGACCACATGGGGTGGGGGGATGTTAAGGTGCATTCAAGTACATGAAAGGTTGTTTAAAGGAGAAAAAATTTCTTCTTACCCTCTGAGGATAGGACAAGAAGCAATGGGCTCAAATTGCAGCAAGGGCGGTTTAGGTTGGACATTAGGAAAAACTTCCTAACTGTCAGGGTGGTTAAGCACTGGAATAAATTGCCTAGGGAGGTTGTGGAATCTCCATCATTGGGGATTTTTAAGAGCATGTTAGACAAACACCTGTCAGAGATAATACTTAGTCCTGCCTTGAGTGCAGGGGACTAGATGACCTCTTGAGGTCCCTTCCAGTCCTTTGATTTGGAGGTGTTCTAGCCACGCACAAGAATCCAGGCTAGATGCCATCTCCCAGCAACTAGATGCAGGGGGAGGGGCAGAATGAGGGGAGGAAGGGGTGTGAGATAGGGGGAAGTGTGAAACTGCAGTAGGCTATCATCATTCAATTCTATCCAGCCCCAGCTCTGTACCCCCCAGCCCCAAACTCCCTGAATAAAGGCCCATTTTGTATCCAGCTTCACCCCATGCAGCCTCATTATCAACCCCCCCTTTGCCAAACCTGCTCAGCTAGGGCCCAGCCCCCCCCACAGCATCAAGGCTCTCACCCCAGCCCTGCTTCCTCCCCTGCTGCTGGGACTTCCCTCTTTCAAAGGTTGCTCACCCTGACTCCCACCAGCCCCAGCATTGCTCGATCACAGCACCCCGAGCTGATCACTCCAAGCAGAGAAGCTGGCCTAGCATCCCAAACCACTGTGAACTTGCCGTGGGGTGGGAGAGGCTTGGCCTCCCCCCAGCAGTGCCCACACAGCTGCCAGGAAGAGCTCTCCCCTCCCCTGGCTCCCCCTGTGAGGGAATACACCCCAGAAGGCAGGGAACCTGTTCAGGCCCCATCCCCTCCTAAGGCTGTATGTGGCCTGACAGGGACTAGCACTAGGAAAGGAGACCTTCAAACACACCCAGGGATCCTGGCTCCTGCCCCACCCCAAACCCTTCCAAGCATCACTCACCCATGGTCCAGTTAGACCATAAGGCGGCTGTTAGCTAGGACTCCTGGGTTCTAGCTCCCCCTCGGGGGCTGGTGGATTAGAGCAGGTTAGCTTTAGCCAGTTGCACTCCTGTGGGGTAATGCTAGCCTCCTTCTCCCTCCACACAGGATGAAGCTGTGGGTGGCTTCTGGGGGCAGCAAGAGATGGTGAGAGCAGGGAGGGGGCAGCACCATTGTCCCCCCTCATAGTCCCAACCCCCTGAGCAGCTCTGCGGGCAGGTCCAAGGAGCAAAGGGCTGATCCCAGCTATGATTTATCTGCCCACCCCCAAGCCAGGCTAATGCAGGGCTTCCATAGGAGACACTACATGGAGGGAGATGCTTGCAGGTCTCAGCACCGCTGCTCCTTCACACCCAGCATGGGACTTTGAACAGCTGCAAGAGGGCTAGGGCACCACGCCAGGCCTGACCGACTGGAGACAGGTGGAGCTGGCCTCAGGAAGGGGGTGGGGAGCAGTCTAGCTGCCTAGGGCAGGACCTGCCCAGGTCCCCTGCACTCCTGTGTGTTTTACAAGAAAAGGCAGGTGCTGTTACTCATAAGCAGCAGCTACACCCAGCTCCCATGGCCACCCACACCCAAGGCTCAGCACTGATTGCAGGCTCCCAGGAGCCAGGACTCCTGGGTACTAGTTCCAGCCCTAACGTCCCTCTGTCTCAGTTTCCCTGGTGGCCTCAAACCTGCCAAATAAAACCAGGCAGGGCAGTAGCTTGTTAGCATTCATTTTTTAATTGAAGGTCATTACAGGTGCTGCTTCCATATTAGTAAGTTCCACTGGAAGGGTGTGTCCCAGCCTCCAGTTACTTAAATTTTGCAAGTTTCTCCACAATATTCCATTTATACACAGTACTACAGACAAGCACAAAGCCACTAAGTCATGGACGCGTTGGCAGCAGGGGGTTGCTTTCCGGGGACACCCCCAGCTCTCCCGGTGGGGCCAGAGAGAATCAGCATCTTTCACTGTTTCAAAACACAAAACCCTTAAAAAAAAAAAAATTTACACACACCAGAAATTTCTAATTCCAGTCAGGAGGAGGCTACAGGGATGCAGTTAAGAGGAGCTACTAGGATGTCACCTTCCACCAGAAACTGCTAGTGGCTCAAGACCTGGGGTTGGCTGTTGGAGGGTCCCTCACTCACTAGCCCCTTTTGGGAACACCCTGGCCAGCAGTGGACTGGCCATCAAGACCTCAGTCCTATGGAGGATTTGAGATGGGCTGTCAGGAGAGGGCAACGTAACGATGAAGCCAGTTGGTCCCTGATCAACCTTTGAAGGAGACATTACTGGAATGGAAACGGGGAATGGTCCCAGAACTAGACAGAGCTCAGGGGATGATCCCCATGAATGGTGGAACAATCCCAAGACTGAACTCCAGCACTCCAAGAATGGGCCCTTCTTGGTGTCTCTAGACATCAAGCGAGAGAGCTCAATGCATGGTCCCTTCTGATGGTGGAATAGCCCCGGACCTTGAGAAGCTACAGTGCCCAGGGAATGGTCCCCTTGGTCTCCAAGGCGGAAGTTCCAGGTAACCGAGGAGGCAGTGGGTTTGGCAGGTGCCCTGCACAGCAGTTGTGGCCGGGCTGTGGAGTGTCTTGGGGACTCTGATCGTGCAAACCGGAGAAGGAGACTTAGGAGGGAAAGAATCGAAACATTATCTAAGGAATTATCCCACCCCACCCCACCCCAACGGCTCTCCCACCCCCACCCCCCCCAAAAAAGGTAGCACAGGACTGATTAACATGGAAGCTCCGGTATAAACTGGCACTGGGAGCGGCTCACAAGGGCTTCCCTTCCAAGCTGACGACAGCGTTGCCGCCCAGCTTCTGGGCCAAGGTGCAGCGGTCCTTCACCTCCTCGTAACAGGTTGCTTGCAACTCATGCTTGATACCTTGGGGGTGGGGGAAGAAAGAAATGGGGAAGCTTAGGGCAAGCCTTGGGTTGGAGATCAACACCTATCTAGCTGAGATCCAGCCAGAATCTCCCCTCCCTCCCAGATCCAACCCCCACCCCCACCCCAATCACTCCCTATGGGAAGGGTAGTGAGATTGTGATCCCCAGGCCAAGAAGCCCTGCTGTAGTCTTAGCAAAGGCACCATCTGACTGGGGGCCTGAGAACTCCCAACTCCGCCCCATCCCAGGTGGGGCCCCTCCCCCACCACACTGGCCCATCAGAGACTGTGTTTATTTAACATCTCCCAATGGGTCACATGCACCAGGGAATTGACACCCCCATCCAAGAGTGGGGGGTAGCCTCAGAGCACAGCAAGGAATCAGATCCAGACCCCTGGACCGCCCCTGAATGGCTGTAACCCACTAGCGTCCGCTTCCTCCCAGAGCTAGGATAGAACCCAGGAGTCCCGGCATCGCCGGGCCACCCCCAGAGTGCAGTTCCACCTGGCCTTGGCAGGCACAGGCAGACCATGAGGTTCAAGTCACACAGCAGCTCACTCAGAGGGGCTAGCAGCACAACCATGGGGCTGGGCCCAGGGTCTCGCCGCAGAGCTGCCAGCTCATTCACCCGCCATGGGCCGGGGCCCCACAGGTGGCAGGACATGGCCTGCTAGGGGTGCAGGACTCGACTCACCTGTGAGTTTCTTCTTGATGGCATCCTTGGAGCTGGCGTAGATCATCTTGCTCTTGAGGGGGGCACAATCTGGGGCCCTGTGGGGAGAGGGGAGGGACTCACACCAACACCAGGGACTGGAGGCTCCCGCAAGGCACAGCCCAGCGCCTGAGTCCGCAGGCATAGTGCCCACCTGGGCACAGACTGGTGTAAGAGAACAGAGCAGCAGCACAGGGGCTGAAAGGAGCAGGGGGAGGAGCCCTCCCCACCAGGCCATACACTAGGTACAGTGTCCGAGGGGCAGATTCCCAGCAGGAGGCACAAGGCGCAAGAGGAGAATAGCTGGGGCGGGGGAGGCCCAGGAGAAAAATTGTGGCAGGTCAGCAAGGCAGAGGGGGAGCTCTGGGTCTCTTAGTGCCATGCCTTGCAGAGGGGGCAGTAACTCTGTGCCCAGCACCATAAGGGCCTTTAAATACCACCCCAAATAGGTTTCAGCCAGCACAGCAGCCCCTAGAGATAGTGCTGACGGTCTCCCCTGCCCCACTGCCAGAGAGTTTCAAATCCAGGACTGTCTTAACTCTCCTGCCCACGGCACCTACTCAGATTCCCCCTATTAACACCCCTCTCGTCTGCACCCACTCATGCCTCCCACAACTCCCACCCTGCAGCCTCTCCATGCCTTCAGCTGGCCCCAGAGCTGAAAGGAGCTAATGTGTTCAGAACCACCTGAGTACGGTGTACACCCTGGAGGGGGTGCCCCAGCTGGGCTAAGGGGCTGGCAGAGTCAGCACAGGATGCACTGACTGGGTCACTCCCAGATCCCCAATCCCTCCCATCTGCCCTAGTCTTGTGGGCCCCACTGCCAGCTGGTCAGCCAGCAGCCCTTTAAACAAGCAGCTGGCACTCCCTGCTGGGCTTGCTCCACCCAGCAGAGGGGCCGGGTGCTGGCACTGGGTGAACAAAGGCAGCTTTCACTGAAGCTCTGCAGAGGGAAGGGGTGGCAGGGAGGGGGAACCAGGGGGTTTCTCAGGCCTGGTGGCGGAGGCCTGGCTAGAGCCAGGAAGCAGGACCATAAGAAGGAATTTGAGGACGGAGGGGCGGGGCCAGAAAGGGGAGGGGCAAGGAGGCCACCCCAGGCTGAGAGGCTTGGCTCTACCAGAAGATGCAGCAGGGAGAATGGCACTGGAGGATGGGAAGGGCACAATACTGGAGAGGGGCGTGGCCAGAACAGGGGTGTGCTCAAAGGATGGACCCAGCCAGCAGAGATAATGGGGCACCCCAGGTTTGGACTAGGGAGTGACCAAGACAAGGGGTGTGGCTCCCCCAGTAGTTAGAAGCAGGGGTCCAAAGCCGGTGGAGAGGGTGGGCATAGCCAGCAGGGGCAAAAGGGCTGTACCACCCTGGAGGAAACGGGGCTGGGGCACGGCCCTACCAGAAGACAAAGACCAGATCCTCCTTCTTGCTCTCCTTGGTCTCGTAAGTGGCGTCGTAGAGGGCGTAGCGGCAATCCGACTCCGGGAGCATCTTGACAAAGTGCAGATAGGGGTCATCGACTGTCTCACCCACGTCCCCCACCAGGATCTCCTTGCCCTCCTCCAGGATGATGTTCCTCTTGTCCTCACTCAGGCAGAAGAGCACCGCCTTCTTGCGCTTCTTCACCTCCTCAGGGGTGGAGGCCTTCCGCACCTTCATGTCATTGAAGACCTTGATCACTCCATCAGAGACTGCTACGCCAGATGCCTGGGGGGGGGGGGGGGGAGGAGAAGAAGAGGAGGAGGAGG